CCGAATTTTTTCTGGCTACTGTCCTGCCCAGAGCATGACTTTCTGCATCTCTGCATGCATGGAAACTGACTTTTGATAGTAAAATGTTGAGCACTAAGCCTTGCTAATGCACCCTGTTCTTGAACCAATTTACTAAATGAGGCCTCATTCTCATGGTGTTTAGGTTGCAAAACTTCTGAGGAGAGCTTAAACAGGTTCTTGAGGGACTAAAATTCCCAGAATCCACCAGACATCATGGTAAGTGACTTCCGGTGACTACAATGCTACATTGACTAGAGATGATAGCATGGGAAGACATTCTCTTTGAACAGGAAATTAGTGACCATATGATTTCATATCTATGAGAAAGGGATGATGTGAAGAAGCCACTGGGGAAGCACCCCATGAAGTACTTCCATACATGTTAACATGGCCATCCTCAAAATTGTCACCTTTCTTCGTTGTTTAACATAGAGGATCATTGGTAACCGTATGCAATCATACTTCTTACTGAATTCTGTAGAACCTGCTGGATTTTCTTTCTTTCATTCATTTTTAAACATCAAAGAGGTTTGTCTGAGAGTAACTTGTGTTCAGTTGCATAGTTTTCACCTCCTGTTTGAGAAGCTGTAAGTCAGAATCCTGTTGTTACACTGCCAGAAGTCTCAGTTGTGTTGGCATAATTCCTTTTTTGAGCAATTTGCGATGGTGGCATTGGAGAAGCACAGCAAAAGCCACCTCTTACCAGAAGCAGCTTAGGAACCTGCAAGTTAAGCTTTTCTTATGGTGCTTGGTTTTTCCAGCCATCCCTGCTATTGTTTCCATCTCCATAGACCCTGATTTTCTTTTGCCATTACTCCCCCCCCCCCACCCTTGCCTCTGGGATAGTTATGCCAGTACACATTCTTGGTCACGAACAGCCATCACTCTACATCTTCTTTCCCATGTTTTAAAAAATCTTTTTTGGGTGATGCACTCTCACCTGAATGGTGACATCTACATGGTTATGTGTTTTCTTAACTTTCTTAGTACTAAATAATTTATGTTCTTCTCAGCAGCAGCTCCCACACTGCTCTTATGTCTTCACAGTTCTGTCTATGATCGACCAAATGGAACAGCAAACAATATCTAGTGACAAGTTGACTTTCATTATAATGCTTCTCTAGTGGCAGACTTGTTATATCTTGAATTCTTGACAGGTATGGCTGAAGGGTTCCAATTTTTGTGAAATCCTTGTGAAGGTAATAGCCATTAAATTCTGAAGTCAATACTGATATTGATTGGATGGGTTGAAGAACAACATTAGTTAGATATCTTCACCTTGGAAGCTGCATTGACATGTTATCTTGCTGTTTTACATGGATGGCACTAGAATGAAAAATACTATGAAGGAGTTTGTTGTTTCAGATGACTTTGGTAGCATTGGAATGGGCCAAGTGAGACCCCAATAACTGCTGTCTCTGTGGTTGTACAAAACCTCTTTGGAACAAATCTTGCAGATAGAACCCTCTGATAGATTTGTCTTCAGGCCTCCATAAGTCAGAAACAACTTCAAAAGGCATAACAGCACCAGCAACAGCATCATATCATTGCCTTCTAAAATTAATATGTGATTTAAAACTATGCCTCCATAGTCCATACAGCTTAAAAATACCAAGGATTCTTTATGGATTTTGTGAACCCCTTGCCTAAACGGAATACCAAGTTACACTGTTATAGTGACTCAAAACTTCTCTGGCCTATGACACCGCCCCACCCCCATCCTCAGACAGTATTTTCAGGGGTTGTCTATGAAGGCAATTGCATTACAATGAACATAGGGAAGGTCACTGGTTCTCCATTTCAGAATTTATTGCAAAAAATGTGTAGAGGAGGTTGCAAATGAGTTGATGTACTGAACTGTAAGTTTAAACAGGTAACGTTTTCCCCTTGACATTAGGTCTAGTCATGTCTGTCTCTGGGGGATGGTGCTCATCTTCATTTTTAAGCTGAAGAGCCAGTGTTGTCCGAAGATGCTTCCAAGGACATGTGGGCGGTATTATTTCATGGAGCGCCATTACCTTCCTGCCAGAGCAGTACTTATTGATCTGCTCACATTTGTATGTTTTCGAACTGCTAGGTTGGCAGAAGCTGGGGCTTGCAGTGGGAGCTCACTCCACTCCCCACATTCGAACTGCTGATCTTTTGGTCAACAAGTTCAACAGCTCAGTGGTTTAACCCGCTGCACCACCGGGGGCTCCAATTGTAACTTACCCACTCATAAAAATCAACAGTTTTTTTGAAAGACAGTGAGAAGAAGAAACTTGTGGTCTGTTGTTTTGATAATCAGTGATTTATTTGTCACCGCTATAATCTCAGAACAAATCTTGATGGTCCTTTGTTTTCTCCAGATGGCAGGAAGGAAGTACATTTTTGGTCTTGACTCTCATAACCAGCAAATGAAAGGCAAAGAAATTGGCTGGTTTACTGTATGCATGTCAAGTTCATTATAATCTTCAAGAATTCTCTTTTCATTAACTACAGACTTATTTTCCCAAGTCTCCTTTGACTCCCAGATAATTGTCCTCAGAAGGAAAGGAAATCCATCTGTGGTGAAGAGGAACATGATCTTGATTGTTACCGTTAAAATGTTTCAGCAAGTAAACAGCAAGCTACTTAAATTACTTCTCAGTATTTCAATTGCCTAAGCAAAACAATTCCTTGCTGAAAAGTGGAGCTCCCTGTCCTCCTATATAAATTGCTGTGCCTCAAAGCACAATAGAAAATTCATTCTCTGCTATCACAAAGGCAATTCAGACAGTTCAACAAAAATTTACCTTCCATAGGTTAAAAAGACACAATTGGCATTTTTTGCAGAAATGAATCGTAAACAAGAATGCTTTCAGGTATACAAATTTTATTAAACACTAAGAAAAATAAATACAGAAGTTTTTTTCCATGTTTGAATGGCTTTTTTATGTGCAGGAGTATTTTGCTGAAGCTCTGTGTTTGCTATTGATGTATAGTAGATGCATTTGGCTATGTACTGGAACAAAGTGCCAAAATGTGGTGATTATGGTACTTGTACTATAAGCGTAAGCAGCGAGGAGTGCAATATAACATAAATTAAATGTGTATCACAATTTCTATGCCCCGGGGAAACGCTGAGCAAAGTTATCCAGTGATTACACTTCCATCAGCATATCATTAACAAGTCCAGATGGCAGTGCTTTAACCGCAAAGACTGCCAGGTGTAATGAGGGGGTCTAAAAATAACGAAATAGCAAGTGTGACCCAGTGGCAAGCTCTACTGGAAAAGTAGTTGTTTAATAGCAGTTAACACTTGGATCGTTTTTGGAAACATGTGGAAAATCTAATGCCTCAGTTATAAAGAGGTATTCTAGTGGAACTGGTCTAAGGAGTCACAGCTGGAGACAGCCACTGTTGCAGCCCAGCCACCTATGCAACACCTTTTCACCCAAAATGAAGAGCTACTTAGTCTAAATATAGCTCAGCCAACAGGAATCAATCAACTTAAAGTTTATTAAATAAAAGAGGGTTTTATAGAAAAAGCTAGTTTAATAATATATTCCAGAGTACAAAATAGCAAAGTATTTCCAAGGTATACATAAAAGGCAAAAGTAGAAGTATATTCAAAACATTCAAAGTGCAAACATAAATTGTTTTCAACTCAGCAGGATGAACTTGTACCTTTCCAGTAAAGTCAGTCAAAAGTAATCTGCTGCAGCCTATCCTTACTTGAGTGTTTTTCATCACTAACAGTTTGTTGTGTTGCCCAAAAGCTGCTGATTTTCATCTGTGAAATGTTAGAGCGTATTGCTTCCTTATTACCATATGAAGGTGGAAAGGAAATTGACTGTATCCTGTCCACACTGCCAGTGCATTGCACTGTTAAATCTACAAAGGATTGTGTTGAGCAAAACATTTCTTAAAGCAGAGAGAATAATGTTGCTTATAAGACAGCTCCCTGAAGCATCTTGGCATGGCATATTGCGTCGCAAATATTTGTCAGCAGCAAGGAGTTGAAAACAAAAGGCTTTTCAAACAGCTTTACAGACGTTTCTGTAGTAGGGCATGAAAAATATTAATTAATTAATTACCATTTCCTACATATATTTGCTAGCCCATTTCCCCAGAAAAAAGAGACAAAATGACATTAATTCTGGCGCTTGGTACATGTTTCTAGTTGCTATCTCTTGCTTTATTTTCCTGAAGCCTGCTGTTTTGAAGAGACAGACATATGTATCCAGTGAACCTCTGCTGCTCTCAATCTGTTTCCATCAGGAACTCCAACCCACACCAGTCTGTCCATTTACACTACATAGTCCTCATGTTGTGGTTATAATATTGGGGGGGGGGGGGGGGGGGGGGGGGGGGGGGGGGGGGGGGGGGGGGGGGGGGGGGGGGGGGGGGGGGGGGCAAGAAGATGTTTATTTTCTATGTAGTTGTTTTTCTCTAATTTTTTTGAACAAATGCCAATTATGTAAGAGGTTTGAAGAGCTGTCCCCAACTTCAATAAAGAGCTTCTTGTATAAAAGGCTATATATTCTTTCCCAGGGCCATCTGGGAAGGATGGTAACTGCTCCTAGGCTACAAAATTACCTTTCAAGGGAGGCCTGATTGGCTCCTTCTCTGCTTTCATTCCACTGGCATGCAAAGATTTTCTATTTAAACAGATTACAGCCTTTAACTGGTTGGGATATAAATATGTGAAAACAGTATGTTGCAAATTGTGTGTGTGTGTTTGTTTTAAATTAATGTCTCAAAAGTAATGTTTTAACACAACAGTTGTAAATGAAAAAAACAAGAAAAAAGCGAAAATGTCTAAAACAATGAAATGGGTTTACTTTAAAAAAAACTCTCAACATATTTTTTTTGTTTCTTGCTTCCTTGCCACCTTCTATCAACTTCCTCCCATTTCCTACATTTGGATGTTTTCCCTTTTTGGGTTCTTTTTGTGTCCTACTGTCAGTTCTGACAATTCCTTTGTTTATAGTGGCTTTTTTCTATGCCCTCTGCAGCTAAACACGAAAACGTGGGTCCTGCTTCCTGCCTCTCTAACTGATTGACTTTTCCAAACTGGTTGAAGGTAGGCACTTTTCATCATGACCAGTTTAAGAATTTTTAAAAGCTGCATTTTTTTCTACAAATGTAGATGACAACAGGATAGTAACTGACATAATACCCTGCTAAAAGGCAATAGAAAATGAAGGGTTCTGGATAAAAGGTTGTGTTTTGTTGTTTGTTTTGGGGGGATCCAAAGTTAACAATGCATCAGGGAAGATGCTTGCACAGTTTTATTTAACATGTAAAAAACAAATCAGTGGCGGTATTGATGAAACTTTGAGAACTGAATGACTGTGAAATAAATGTATGAGAGGATGAGGTATAGTGGGTAGGAGAGAGGGATTACAACGGTGTTCATCCTATTGAGAAATTACCCCTGCTATCAGTATAGCATAGTGGTTCTCAACCTGTGGGTCTCCAGGTGTTTTGGCCTTCAACTCCCAGAAATCCTAACAGCTGGTAAACTGGCTGGGATTTCTGGGAGTTGTAGGCTAAACCACCTGGGGAGAACCACTGATATAGCACTATAGGCACTTCATGGAAACTTAATCTATGGTCTTATCTACCACCATGGGTTTTTATGGTTGTGGTAAGTATTATACAGTATTATCTTTCCCAATGAGGGTTGGGCAACCACAAAGGATTCAAGGAGCACCTTTCACCCTGTGGGACCCACTGAGTGCTACACTGGGATCAAAAAGAAGGAAATATTTTAACACACCCAAAAACATGTATAGTTTTTATTTTGGTCTCTGTGGCATCCTGTTGAAATGCAAACCCAAGGAGTAAAATACATGAAAAATAATTTTAAAAGAACAGATTTCCCAAGAGATCTATTTGGTGAAAGGGAGTGAGATGGGTTGAAAAGCTACACAATTGTGTTAAGGAGCACATGTTTTCTCCTACCCACCCTAGTTTTAAATTCTATACTTCGGGAGCTTACCCAAAAAGAATTTCTAATTCAGTACTACCCTGACTTAAGATTTTAATTCATTCCATGACTGAGTTCTTAAGTCAAAATACTCTTATCTCAAAGCGAATTTTCCATTGAAATACATTGAACTGCTATTAATCTGTTCTGGCCCCCTGAAAACCACCCAATTTTTTATTACATGTCTTTTTAAAAGAAAATGTACTTTATAAATAACAAATAATGTATAAATGCACATTCACATGGAACAATAAAAAGAAAGCTAAATTTTAAAATGGTAGAAGCACATATTGTGGCAAGGAAGCACATTTGAGGCAACAAAAATGTGTGTTGGCCAATGTGATAGCAAGGTAAAACATCATCATTTTCGTCATAATGTACAGTACAGTACTAATTCCAGCCTCTCTTGCTCTCTCTCTCCTACTCATGAAGCGAAACATACCAGGAATAAAAACCACACAAAATGAAGTAACCCAAACTTCTTCAAAGCAGACAACAATCTCCAAAAGCAGACAAGAAGCAAGCAGGTAGCAATCTCCCAAAGCGGAGAAGATCACATGGCACGCAGGCAGAGGCACTGACTACGAGGTACAGAGGCTGCTCCCTTGAAGCCCTGTACTCTCATATGCATGCTCTCTCTTGCGCAAGTGCTCTCTCGCTCTGGCTTGAGCGCTCTCTTGCTTTCTTTCTCTGGTGCGAGTGCTCTCTCTCTCTCTCTCTCTCTCTCACTACCTGGTGCTAACACAAACACACACACACACCACCTGGTGCGAGCAGTGTTCCTCTATGGTGTGAGTACTCTCTCTCTATGGCACAAGCACACTTGGATGTTAAATCAAAACCTGGGCCAAGCAATGGCTCAGAAGTCAAAACATACATATGTTGAGGTGCTTGTAAGTTGAGGTTCCACTGCAGTATCTGCCACTGTAGTATTTGAAGTTCTGACATGTCAGCACTCTCTACCTAGTGGGTCCTGTTTTCAAGTAGGCACACATATCCATATAGTAAAATTGATTGTGTTTCTGCAACGCAAAGATTTTTAAATCTTTACACAACTCTAATATCGAACTTGAAATTATTATTCAATGCAGCAACCACATCAAATTACATATCAAAGTCATGGCCCACTTATAGATTTGTTTCTGCCAGTAAGCTATTGTCTTCATGAAGAACAGAATATCCATTTAGAAGGTATTTACTGCAATGCGAGACATATAATCTTTTGAGTATGTGCTGTTTTCAGTAGTAGATAGATCAAATAGGTTTGTTTAGAGGAAAAGCATGATTTTACTGCGTTTTTTTAATTTATTGATTTAATTTCCTGCATTATTTTAAAAATGGCATTCATGGTGACTACTCTATGTACTACTATAAGATATAACAAATGCAAGAGCATTTGTTAGATTGACAAAAGAAGGAAATATGGCCAAGCTCAGTGAATATCATGATGTTAGCAAGTGCAGTCAGCCCTCCACATTTGTGGATTAATTTTCTTCAGATATACATATGTCTCTTTAGGAATGTCTAGGAATCCCTATGTTTTCAAGGGTTACTCTGAATTTTGGTGGATTTACAGAGTGAGAGCCCCCATCTACAATAACCGCCATTTAATGCTGTTTCAAACTGGTGTTGAAGATGTGCAGATGATTACATAGGAAATCTAGGAACCAGTTTAAGATCTAGGTGGTGATTACACAAATCACAGAGCACTGATGTGTATGAAGGGTTTTCTTTCACACACTCTTGTGGGAATTTGTTGTCTGACCACCTAACTTCAAACTGCATTAAATAGTCAGTGTATATGGAGCCTTCGAGAGGTGCTCTCTCCCGTAAAAATGTAGCAGTTTTATTTAATCATGGATTTTCTACTTTCATGAGAGTCCTGAACCCCTAACCCCCACAAAAGTGGGCATCCTACTGGATATAATGTATTTTAAGAAGCAGGGTCTAAGATGTTAATTCTGGGGTGGGAGAATCCATGTTCCCCAGATAACTGTTGAATTTGCTTCAGTCCTACTCGTTATGGTCAAGATCAGGGGTAGAAATTGTAGTCCAACAATGCATAGTTGCTTCTAGTCTCCCCATCCCTAATTGCACTCAACTATACATTGATAAAGATCCTGCTAATAAAAACCAGAACATTCCAATATTAATAACTACATACCTTTCACAATAAATGGTTATTGGATTGTGAGTTAAATTTCTTTGCCATAGTTCCATCCTATGGAATTTTGGATTTGTGATTGGGTCAGAAGCGCTAGAGCTGTCTGGCTAAAAGTTCTAAATCCTGAACTGCACATCCCACGATTACATATAATGCAGTCATTGCAGTTAAGTTGGAAACTATAGCACTACAGTGCTATAATTGTGTAGTGTGGAATGGCATAGGGTAAAGATAAGACCAGCACTTTTAGAGAGAAACATACTGGCAGTTCTATACTTTCACATATAATCAGGGCAAAGGCTCTTCATACGACACCCTTTGTTCAGTCTTACAACCTGATAAAATTTGGTGTGTGCCTGCTGCACATCATGTATCCTATATTACTACCATCAAGAACCAGGCTCTCTTTAAAATACTCTATCGGCTCATTACAACAGTGACTTTCCATCACCTACTAAGATGTAGAACAATTTATGAGATTGTCAAGTTCCAATTTGGTGTAGCAAATCGTTTTCATTTCTCATTATGGGCAAGCATTTTAAGGAGACTTACTTTGCTATTCTTTCACTTCAATATTAATTCATTTTATGCAGTGTGAGAGAAAACACTGGAACAATTTTCCAGCAAAGTGCACTGATATTCATATAGTTACTAGAACACTGTAGCTGGTCACCATAGTGACTGCATATTTTTTTCCAAAATTGAAAGGACATATTGTCTTTGGTTAGGAATATGTTGATAGGAATTATTATCCCTGGAAGATATCCCCAAATTAAGGTTTAGGGTTAGCTGTGCAAGACTTTGCTGTCTTTTGGTGGTATTTAAGTTGCCCAATAGATAAGGTACTTTTGGAAGTTTATATGCATAATCCTTTGACAAGCAAAGCAAAAACAGGTATAATTGGTTATTGATTCGAAACATTGGGTGCCTTTGAAAACTCATGCATAAAAATCAGTTATTGGAGCCAAGGAAAGTCAAAATATTCAATATATAAAAATTGTATTTTGCAGAACTCCAAAGAAGTTTTCAGCCAAGTTTTCAGCAGAAATGTAACACTGCAAGTTCATTTTAGAATCAGCACAGACCCAATTTTGGCACAATCTGGTCCAAGATGGGAGGATGTGTGTGTTTGTTTTGCCTTACATGGAAAGAAGTTATTGAACAGCAGTTTTCATTTAATCTAATACTTTATTTATGGGCTAGACTACAACTTCCATCATCCTCAGTGATCACAATTTCAGGAAAGCTGCTACACACAGTCTCTTGTTTGTTCTTTTGTTGAGGGCAGGATCTACACTACAAACAGTTATTTGTGATACTTGTGAAACTACCCTCACACTGTAATTCCTAATCCAACAGGAATTTAGGAAAATGTAGTAAATTGCCAAAGCAGAAGTTATATGGGGGCTAAATTAATGTGAAAAGCTCATCCCACATATGGTTAATATATGAGGATTTTGAAGGAGATATATATTTGTTTCATTGTGATAAAAAACATTAAATAAAAGTGGAGGATAGAGTGCGGGGAGGAAAATCCCACCCATTCTTGCTTCACATATTTGTTTTTAGTACTTTTCTCCCAGCCCAGCTGACTTTCAGTACTAGAACCAGGAAAAAAAAACCCTGTTTGAACACCAGTGGCTTATGGCTTCTGTGTGACTTGGTTAGTAAATTCACTCCAGGTTTTAGTTTGAATTCTAAGGAAGCTATCCAGTATGCTGAAACAAAACAACTTCCATACCTTGAACAGCTCCTTTGAAATTTTGCACTAACATATACCTGATATTCTTGCACTTAAAGCAATAGAGAGTAGAAGGATGGAAGATGAAGAAACATAGGATAGTTGCTCCATTAAGTCATGTTCCATTATGCCCCTAGACACAGCAGTTTGAGGTTTTGAATGGGTGAGGTAAATACATATGCCATA